ATTACGATATCATAAATGGCTAAATCAGAAGATAGAATTAGAGATAGTTCGTCCTTCAGTGATAGAAATGGAAATACAGATGGCTCTGTAGTAAGCAATTTGGTTTGATGCGCTCTTATTTCGACCAGCATTTCAAGTCATTGAAAAGAGAATTGAGAGAAGAATTACACTCTTCTTCGACTTCCAGACTAAAGCGTTTCAAGGATGTTTCGTCATCCAAGGACTTCAAGTATCGAAGTAACAAGAAACAGTTTGTTTTCAATCTTGACGTTATTGAGGGTTTTGACGACATTAAAGAGGCTACTAAAAGAGGCGAGCAGAATAAAGTCCTAGAATTATCTGAAGCCCTGAGAAAGAAAGTATTTCATAGAAATAAGCTTATCAGAATTGCTGATAAATCTTCAGGCGGCTGGGACACAGTCAAAGAGTACGAGTCAGACGACCTAGCCAGTGACAGTGACGATGATAAACGTCTTAAAAGGGCAGAAAGCAGGGCGCTTGCCAAACTTAAATCTAAGCAGCCGCGGAAGCCTGCCAGCGCTACACCTAGCCCAGTGTTTGCTGATCTTACTAGGTCTTCTACTTCCACTGGTGTTCCTCCTTCAAATACGAACTTCATGCCTAATTTTCGTGGCTCACGACGCTTCAACAGGGTTATCCAATGTTATTCATGTAGCGGATGGGGGCATACCCGACCGGATTGTCCCTTTCAATATTCTTGACCAGGTGTCGCCTCAACTTCCTTGGCATTTCGGACAACAGCAACCTCAAGTCCCGCAGTTCATGCAGCTCAAGCAAGATCAACAGTCAAAGGCCGCCATTTCAAAGCAGTGATAAGAAAGATGAGTATTCATATCTAGATATGATTTACAATTATAATGATAAAGACTTTAAAAATATTTTGTTACAAAAGATATATTTTGAATATCAAAATTCATCCAGTCAAAATAGTAATAATAAATGTAGTGATTTATTTTGTGTTTTGTTATCTTTTCATAGAGTTGATTTACCTTATTAAAGTTGTATTTTCTGTAGAACTTTGATGGCTGATTTGTGCCATTCGTGTTTTCGTCCCGCAACCCCGACAAGCGAAAAGTCGAGAACAAACATGTTAAAATGACTGGGCGCGGAGCGAAAACACGCTCATTTGCGGGGCACGGCCCTGCACCCAGCCAAGCAAAAAGACTAAAATAAATTTGTTAAAATGGCGGGGGCGCGGAGTGAAAAAACGCATGTTAGTGTTGTCTCGCAACGCTGCTTCAGAAATCATGTGGGATATGCAGCCGGCCATTAGTGAAAAAATGCTTATTACCAGTTACTTATCTAGGAATGTCGGTAAGTTGTTCGGATCATCCGCAGGGATATGACCGAAAATATCTTTAAAAAAATCGTGTAAAACCTAAAACAAATTGATTTACAATAGAATTGGAAAGTAAATTGAATCAAATACAGAGAAAAGTAATTATGTTAATGTTTTTATACGGCAGTTATCAAACCACGACAACATACGAGTTTGTAGATAAGTTAAGAAGGCATCGATATGTAAAAACATATAAAACATATATTTATCGTAAAATGTGACTCTTCACGAGCATAACTTAAATATGTATGTTGAATTGTAATGTCAACATGTGTCTGTATGAAGATTTGTCTATTTTTTATTTTATATTGCTTGAAAAAGATTTTGCGGTGACTTTAGTTTGACCCCAGACTAAAACAATATTTGTTGATATAAAATAATAACCCGTTATATACCGGCGTCATTATTACTTATAACGTATTAGAGAGAGAAAATATCTATTAGACTAAAGCATACATTGCAGACGGATAAAGGATATTAAAAGACATTTATCATATCCTCTCCTTATTGTCTACCAACACTCAACATCACAGCTTTTAAGTGCCAGGTTTGACGGCATTAGTCACGAAATGGTGTTATTGTTTGATATAAATGCACAGACAAGATATTTAAGTGGAATAAAATATATCTTAAGAACGAGATGTAGTTGGCAGTAAGAACTCTTCAACTGGGTTCAAAACTTTATATATAACATAAAACAGCTTTGTATCTTATACTTAATTCCAGCGTTTGTGCTCTTATTTTAAGGACCTGTGTGCCATTAGTATTGTCTGAACTATGCAAGTAAAATTCTAGAAGGAAAACATAGGTAGAGTTAGAGAATCGAAGAATTAAGAGAAGACAAGTTTGAGTCATGTCAGGGAATGCAAATGTCATTATATCTTATAATACAATCGATTGAATATTTATCCTTTAATGTTGGATATGTATCGAAAAGTGCAAGAAATGCCGCATGAAAATTTTACATTGTTAACATCTGAATTCATAAAGTGGATGTATGACGATAGGGAGACTTGAAGATACCGATATTCATGCTTTTTAATATGTTATGATAGTTATTAAAAATATTAAAATCTATATGACCTTTTTGTGTTAGCCCTTTTTTGCATTTAGGTAGGGATAGATGACACTTCCGCCGTATGATTTTTTTTATTTCTAAACCTTTAATTCAAAATATTTTGTCATTTAAGTGACTTAATGAAAAAGTACATATTTACAGTCATTGAATTTCTTTCCTGGATAACTAACCAGTAATTACAATTTTGACAGTCCGCATTTCCGAACATATAAGCATCCTGGATATAGTATATGAACAATTTATATCTAGCGAACGTTATTAAATATGATTCTATTTCATTAATTTAATCAAAGGCTCAATTATTTTGTTTTATCGCAACGTTTTGTTTACCTTTTATATTTAATTTAGTAAGTATTATTAGCACATATCCATCACATTGAAAACGTTATTGTCACCCCAATAACACAATGAACTCTTTCATCGTTTAATTATGCATACGCCTAATGTAATGAAACAACTGACCTAGAATTGATGTATTGTAAATAATTAAGTATATTCTAGTGGACAATCAGTTGCTATGTTGTACTGATATAGTAATTTGTCGATAAAGCATTTTATTGAAATCTTGAACAAAATTTTTTACTATTTGCATCTATTGAAGTAGAATTGATGCATTGTAAATTATTCAATATATTTAAGTTGTCATTCTGGTGTTGCATTGCACTGATATTGTAATTTGCCGATAAAGCATTTTGTTGAAATAATTGTGTACGATTTTAAAATATATAGATCAGTGAATGTTACCTCGTAGAAGGCAATATAATGTTTCCTCGAGGGTTAAGCACATTTGTTTTTTCTTCAAAGAAGAAAATGCGAAGAAATTAAAAGAAGCTTGCAATGAATATAGCGTTAAGTCTCATCTTCATTAAAATGATTCAATTTAAAAGGTCAAGTCTTGTAATTTAGTTATTAAGGATCTGGAGAGCGTTAAATTCAGCATCATATTTTCTGTATAAACACCTAAAAGGTTTAATGTATGACACAGTTTCCTCTGTCACAAATGAGTTCTTAAAGCTCTATCTACATTTTGTTGTATGTTAGAAAGTTACCGTCATCATCTTTGCAAAAACTTGATATAAATTGATTTTCAAATTTCAGAATGTATAGTATGCTTTGTGACAATAAAAAATGCCTTTCATTTATTCGAGTTATATATTTTCGTCTGGTATTTTGAATCATCAAATATTAAAGATTAATAATACAAATATAGCTTATTTTCCATTTTTATCTATTATGTAATTAATATTTCATATCAAATACCGTGGCCTATCTTAAAATCTAAATTCACAAACTCCTCACAGCAGTTACCAGGGGGTCGAACGTATAGCGGTGCGATACTCCTTTAAGCGAGGTGAATTCATGCGATATGCCCTAATGGCGGACGGGAGCGGAAACGAAAGTAGGTATGAGCAAGTTTTTTCCAAATATTTGTTGTCTATTGTAATTTTTTTAAGAATAGCATTGTGCATGCTGATCAGAACTTATAATTGTGCATGATTGTCAAAATAAAATACTAAATTTTATAGAATTGAGGAAGTTATTGAGGTATTTGTTGCTGCAAATTCAACCGTCAACCTGATATGCACAGGCAAACGAATAATGTATCAGTCGTTTTAAAACGAGATATTCGGTTAGTTTAAGTCCCAACATGTTTATTTTTGAAAACAAAACGATATACAAGTACTTATAGGCGTCAGTTGAGCCGCATGTCGGTCGAACCACAAGCGATAGAAAAGCAGACATGTTAAATTCAAGATCACGTGATCATAAACAAAGAGTATATTCTAAAGTAAACATTTAAAAAAAGAAGCTGATTTATCAGTGATTTAAATCTACAGAATTATCTTCTTTTTTTTTTAATTTGCTTTTTGGTATACGTGATCATAAACAAAGTTCATTATTTCTAAAGTGAACATTAATAATATTGACAATCATTACATTTCTTTACTTTAATATAGATGTACATAGTTTATGCCTTCAAGTAATATGACTGACTGTCCATAAAAAATTACATTGACCTCGCCTGTAAGTCAAATAGATTTCAACAATAATTTCATCTTTACGATTAAATAGAAGGGTGTTTTGCTGCCCATTTGCGCGAACATTTTCACGCTTTGGAAGGTGATATAAAAACTGTAAACAGGAAGATTTCTGTGCTTTTCGTGTGCATGTTTACAACTTCTTTGTAGGCCAAATGATCAAAAAACAAATACCAAATGTATTAAACAGTTTTAAGAAATAAAAAAAATAATACATTATTTAATGCTTTATTATACTATGTTCTTAACAAGTTATGATGCCTTCAGTGAATATCCTAGTCTATGTGCTTGGCTTCATAAAATGTAATATCTACCTCGTCCTGTGGCCTATGTGTATGTCACATACACTTGAATACTCGCCTAATTACCATACAATAATTGTATAGATCACATTCATTGATTAAGTGCCTGTTCTTTAATTTCAGAGTTGATTAATTTTTCATGCGGTATACTGCTTTTCTTCATAGAATAAATGATGTAAACAAACGCTATTGGATACAAAAAGAACTAATGAAAAAAATAGTTTGTTTTCAAGTTTATTTACAATATTTTCTTCAATATGATTTTCATTTTTTAATGCGTAAATTCAATATGTACACTCATTCATATTAATTGACACAAAGAAGAGATAGTATAATTTAATTTATAACAAATAATATACATCGTTTGCAACAATCACTGCTTGCTTTGGTATTAAAATATAAATTATATGAAACATGCGAGGAGTTTACATACGTAAATGACAAACAAATGTTTGCATTTGCTATTAACAATGAAAATATTATTTAAAAACAAAAACATTACATTCATGTTCAATGTTTACGAACATCCAAATTTTGTTTAACATGGTGGTAGAATTATAACTGAATACCTTTATATTTTATAAAAGTTTACAAAGATTGAATTATTTCTATATAATCAAAATCTATATTGAGAATAGTACTAAGTTAGTTTATTGTTTCAATACCCAAGTGCTTAACATGTATCATATATGAAAATAATAGAGGACGGAATTACGTATTATTGATAGAATAATGGAGGGAGAAATAACTCTTCAATTTACAAATAATTAAAAGGATAGGCACTAAAACATAACTGTTTAAAACAAAATTAATTAAACACAATAGCACTTTCCTACGGCTTAACCCCTGGAACCGAAAGAGGTTTTCAGAAACATATTATTGTCGTTATGAATTTCTATCAAAAATAGCCTAAGGTTGTGTTACTTGGCAGGGATATGTATCTATAACATGGCTTTGAGTTTTTATGAATAGAATAAAGATCTCTCTGTTTTCGTGTTTAATTTTGAACTCTGCCTAAGGCAGTGCTAGGGGGCTTGGAAGGTAACTTGCACCTTCCAGTACCGTCCATGAACAGGCTCAATCAAACCGAGCCTGCTACATTTTTAATTTTGTCGTTTCCGGCGTTCTTAAGGGATTTCATTTTATTTTATTTTATATATCTGCACAAGACTATTAAACGGTGTTAAGTGGGTTGACCACTTCAAAGGTAGAAACTTAATGACTGATTGACAAAAATGATGCCCCAATAACCTTGCTTTTGTACGTTAAGTTAATATTTGCTCCACAAATTTAAAGAAAAAATCAATGTCTTTAATAAGTGAGATTCAACTCCATAACAAAATGAAATAAAATGGTTGGAAATAAGTAACCACGGAGGAGAATAAATGTACGAGACATATACAAAAATATAGAAATCACAATAAGGAGAATGATATTCATCATCCTTTTTATAAATATAAAACATACATATTTTAGCATGTTTATAAAACATTACTATTTGGTTAAGCACTTTCTTTGAATCACATTCAATCCACAGGCACTTGCGAATATCTTCTTTGTTCATGAAGTCTGTTCACATTATGCACAAATTTATACACTTGTATATAATTTCCACCTAATTATAATACTGTTTCCCGTTCCACATTATACCCAAAGTCAAAATGCACGGTGCCATTGTTATTGTTCCGTTTAATAAACGCTTGCGTCGTACTCGACGTGTCAACGGTGTTGCCATTTGTTATCACGTGGTTTGCTGTAGTGTTGTTTTCTATCGTTTCGCTTTTTAAAGCGAGATTTGCTTGTAGCAGTCTGTCTTGTTCCACTTCGTTCGCCTGTGGATTCTTTGAGAGAAATATATATATAAATATTTCAATTTTGTACTTTAACTTTTAAAATATATTTAATCTGAGATTATTAATTAATTTAAAGTGTTGAATACATATAATAATAGTTGTAAAAATGTTATCTTATTCGAATATCACATCCGATCGGTAACTATTAAATCATTTATCTATGATATTACACGCTCAAAAAATAATCGTGTTTACGAATGTATCAAGATCGAATCTGTGTTTTATTTTTTGTACAAAAGAAAACCTATTGTTAACAGTTCAATGGATAGCAGTTTATACATATCCAAACATCAATCTATATTGAAATTATTACTTGCAAGTTCAAATGTTTACATATAAGAAGTATTCAGATATTCAGAAGGTTATACTATACAATGATATTTTGTTTTAGAAATATATTCAGTTACTTGTTTTGAAACAATTCGATAACAAAGACTTTAGAGCCAAATTATATTACAAGTTGCGATCAATTATTGACAAACTAAATGATAAAAGCATTAAATGCACACAGTTGTTACAGCAGATTTACCTAAATGAATACTAACTGTGGTGTTAACAAAAAAAAAACACCCCAAAACAACAGCCTGTATCATCAAATTGGTATGAATATAATCTATTTTTTGAAATGCTTATATATTCAATTCAATCCAATAAGTTTATTGCATTAAACATTTTATAATACTTATAGCACATTGGTACAAGCATATATGTGATCGGCTTTCCCGATAGTCCTGTTACAAGTAACAATATGAAATATGACATTAAGATGAAATTGGATGTACTGCCTTTATGACAATATAAGTTATTCAAGATAAACATAAATACTGTAACAAATTCAATCTTGTTTTTTTTTTTAAAAATCAAGTGTTTCGAAATAACAACATCTGAAATATACAGTCAAATGAGGCTAAAATTTAATAAATATCATTAAGAAAAAGAAAAAAAGAAACATCAGAATTTTCCCCCAACTCGAAATCCAAGCACAACTGATATGACTGCTTTCACAAATTAAATGAAATTACAAATACTAAATAGTTAATAAAACAAAAACCAAATTAAACCTTTACAGAAATTAAGTGAAACTTAGTTAAGAAAGCGCGTTATTGTTTAACAAATCAATCAACACCACAAATGCGTCTGGATTAGTATTAGTATATTAGTAAATTTACATAAATATAAATATTATTTGTTAAATCTATATATATTGTCAAACTAAATGAGCATATTCGCAGAAAGATAAGTAAAATCAACGTCATATCTGCAATTTACAAAACACAATAACAAAATTGACTGTCTTATTTGTTTTTGAAAATTCATGTACGGAAATATCACTTGAAGTAAAAGAAAAGTCCCTTAATATTTGTAAATCAGACCCAGTTTTATTTTATTTCCCTATACAAAGACCATCTATCACGTCCCTAGCAAAAACCTAAGCGGTATTTTATCCTTCTAAAATGACCTACACAAATGCTATACAAATATCACCTTCAATTATTTGTCATACAGAAAAAATTAAATACTGAAACTTGACTGTTTACGTATACATTATGGCATATTTGTATATTCATTTTAGAGAAACATATTATTCAGAAAAGACTTGTAATAGTATATTAAAGATTAACACTTTCAAACACTCTATCAACCTGTGCTAACTTGTATTTTAATCTTACCGGCGTTTCCGAGAGATCGTCATCCTATACAGATAAAATATTTCAGAAAAAAAATAATAACAGGAGTTAATGTTATAGGAGCGTACAATACTTTGATGGTTGCCCGAAAGGCAATGGGTGCACGGAAAGTGAAAATTGATATTTGCGCGAAATACAAATAGACATTTCAGTTATGAATTGTCTTTAAATTATGTTCTCGTAATAAATACTGCTCACATATCCAAAAATAGTTTGGATTTTCCTTTTATATTTATATTTCATTAATATTTTTATTGCTTCTGTACTATTCTTTGTTGCATATTGTTTTCTATAAAGGTGCAATAATATATTAGAAGAATTTTGAACTTTCGTATAAATATTCATAAACAAAAAATTGAACTTACATATAAACATTCATAAACATCTGATTCAAGCAAAATGTTACTGTGATTGGAATGTGATTTTCAGATATTCTATGGTAATATTTTAGATGATTTCTACATCTATATGGAAATGTTATAATATTATATTAAATTTGGAAAGATTTATTTCGGGAAGATGCCGCAAAACAATAGCCAGTTGTAGACAAATAAATATTCATAGCCATATTAGCACATTTTGCAACAGCTTGTTTGTTTTCTCACAAGTACATCATGTACTTTGATTTTCATGACGTTAGTGAGGTAAATAAACATTCAATATATATATAAAAAAACAGGATAACAAAAGTCATTTCTACATGCTTTCTAGCATGCTATTTTACCTATTTAACGTGGCCATTATACTGCAAATAAAGAGCAAACACCATGAATAATTGTTTGACTTTTTTGTACAATGTAATCAAAGAAAATTTGATTCAATTTCAATTTGTTCAAAAGTATTTCAAATTGATTTCTCCTGTAACGTAAAAATAATTAATAAGGACATTGCCTTTTTCTGTTATTTATGATATATTTGACAACTAGACTAGTTGTCAAATATATCTAAAATAACAGAAAAAGGCAATGTAGTAGTGTATGCCGAAAAAACGTCCAAAGATTTTCTTTAATTACAATACGTAATTGTTATGAATATGTATTTGTTATATCATTCTTAACATTTTCAACATCTTTTATAGTCGTTTTAAATTTATATACGTATATATGACTCGAATGCAAATTTTACGAACACGTACCAAAATTTTAAAATGATTATTCAGAAGTTTTTATAACAGAGTGCTAAATAGTAATTAATAGTCACGTTGCTAAAGGTACATCTAATTAAAAGGCCCAAGACAGTCATCTCGGAACTTTCTCCAATCTTACATTTCTCATAATACTAATGACAACAATGGCGTTTTATGCGACAGAGCTGATTTTTATTATATAAACATATAAAAAGGTTTTACTTTAACTATATAAACAGACAATGCCAGAATTGAACTAAAATATAAGGAAAAAAAGGTTATGCCAGATTAGTAACTGACTAACCATATAAACATAAAATGTACATTCTAGCGGAAAGGATCTTGTAAAAGTGAATATATGCTACTTAGGTCATTCTCTAGAATCAAGGGTTACATAACAGCGGTATTCTTTTATATGTTTTTCGAAATGATGGAGTAAAACGAGCAAGCATATATTTAGTAATTCAACATACAAACGCTACGAAAATGGTTATGGCGGAAATTAACTAAAGCAGTTGTAGAGGGAAGGTTTGCATGCCATATTTATGGTGTATTATATTTGTCTTATATATTAATTGTTATGCATTAAATTTGAATTTTGTCGCATAAACGGGAAATCTTATTTTATTTCTGGAGTTTTTATATGAACATTTAACAATTATTTTGCAAAATTAATAACTAAGAAGAAATCTTAGGAATTTTGAATATGTTAAGCAGTATTTATTAAGTTGTTAAACTTCTACGTTTATTCAGTATCAAAATGCCATTTTGTCAAAAGTATTCTGTTTTTAAAATTTTATACAGTTACATAATATTATTTGCTTATTTTATTAAAGTAAATGTCTTTGGAAAAAAAAACATATTAGAATACATACACACAAATGAAATGCATAAAGCCATGTCATAAAAAAACCCATGCGGAATCTTTTTTGTAATACATATTCGATTGGCTTTGTAAACGTCAAGATTTATATTTCCAGCAAACAATTGATGTGATTTTGAAACTTAAAAATGTTAGCTTTGTTACACAGCAAAGAAGAGAGGATCTTTCCGTTAAAACATCTATGCAAATGAAAAGACACTAAAAGGAAAATTATATTTACAGTCCTTAAATGGACATGACAAGAAAGAAAGACTTAGTTGGGAGACAAGTGACACATTTAAACACTTATTCTTCATCATCTATATCTGAACAACAACAATAAAAACATTTATTATTGGACACTTCGTCCTCACTCTGAATGCACGTGCAAGATAGATGGTGATTTTCTTCATGCTCGTGATTATCAAACGCAAAGTGATTCAAATGAGTTTGAACATGCTTAGAACCAATGGTAGACATGTCCTCTACAAAAGTGTCACGTCCTAAATCAGGACACATTTTATTTTTTAGTGCACGCAGTGGATGTACCTCAGTCCCGGTAGGTAAGAAGAAAGACGACGTCCTTGAACTTCGTCTTCTCCCGGAAGGATGCCGACCGTGGCGGATTCTAAATCGGTACCACTTCTGTTTAATTACACGTCTTACCTGAAAAATGGACATAAGGGAAATAAGAAGATTACTTAAGAAGCACTCATAGAAAAGTATGACACAGATAAATATAAATTATATAATAAACATATGTAATACACATATTTAGAGAATAAAAAAACACTTGGCCCATAAGTGACAAACAATCTTTAATATAACGTAAACCAATATTTTTTGCCAAACATTAACTTAATTATTTTGTCAATAGCATATTTGATAATAATTTCACTTATTGTGATGAAAACTGTTTTTGCTGGTCATGAATAAGATAATAAGTAATGTTGATTTGATATGAATTTATATACAAATTGTGTAGGAAAACATTTGTCCTATAAAACTTATTAATTTTTGGTTATATAAATTAAAACCTTACCTCTCCATTTAAAAAGCAGTACAGAATCGCCACTAATATACCCTGAAAAGGTATTAAGATGAATGAATCATTTAACTCGTATTCATCCACAATGATCGACATATGACATGAAAAGAACTTTTTTCATCTCCTGTTCTTGGATGAGTGTTTGACACATTTCGGTCATATCTCGATGAGCCTAAGACCTAATATCTGAGATAATTTTTCCCGGATAATTACCCCTCGTCCAATGATTGGACCAGTGACACCTAGATTGATTATATGAAGCTCTTCTTTTTTACTACCACCCTATTTTTGTCTTAAATAAGTGATCATTTTACTGTATTGAAACAAAATTCAATAAAATGCCTATTTAATCTATTGTTCAATTTGATCGGACCACAAAAACATGTCAAAGAATATCTTTATAGTGACAAAACAATTTTGTAATTAAACATTTTGTTAACTCGAGTATGTGGTTAAAAAATATGTCAAATAAATGAGACACTTTAAACTGCACTACACATAAATGTATGACGAATGGTGCGGATCAAAAGTCAATTTATTTCAAAACTTTGGTCCTAAAATACCTTATGGAAGTAAAAGAATTACCTGTGACGAATGAAGGACAGCATTCACTACGTGATATGCATCCTTTAATGATCCCTTTTTACTTGGGCTCATCACAAACAGTAGATTTGTGATCCCTAGTAATGGCATTAAAACCACTGTGGCTTTTATTGCTTTTCTGTAAAAAAGAAATAAAAAACTCATATCAATAATTAACTGATTTTAAGATTACTGCAAAAAAACACATAGCGGTATTTTTCATTAAAACGAAAATGCATCAGATTTGTTTTGGTTCACATTTTAAGGGTCCGTCATGCGAAAAATATTTACAAAGTAGGACAACATTGCAATAATTTTCTGTTTGAAATATAACTTCAAACAAAAAGAAAACATTTTTAATTCCGTGCAAATTGCATAATTTATTGGTTTGTGAATATGTGTGCATGTTTTGAATTACTGAATAAAAACTGAGCACATTTAAGAATACCTCCCAGTTAAATGTAAATGACGATATAAGATGTTTTATGTAGGGTTATCTCTTCTCGGCGTTAATGTAGTTAATACCAAAGAGGCATATTAAGCGCAGAAGACAAAACGCTGGCAATGGAATGCAAAGTATAAGTGGAAGGTAAATGTGCATGTTCAGTTTGGGTTTAGACTATTTTTCATTAACTTAAAGGAACTCCACTGAGGTTTATAAGCCTAAAAACATGAAATTTTAATTTTTCACATAGATAAACATTAGCACTTAAAACATAAATATTAATAAAATATAACCAAAAATATAGAAGAAATACATTGAAAATCATATGTTTGTGCTATTCTCAGTCCGATTTGAGTGAAAAGCGTTTAAACGCTTTTCAATTTTGGGTTATTTTTCACTATTATAATAATTATTTTGGAAAAACGGAGCAAGCTAATGATCTGAAATTTTGCACAAAAGTTATTAGTATAGATCTACATCAATTGGAGTAATAACCTCAGAAAAGTTATTTATACTATAGATACAAGAAAGGAATTTATCTCCTCAAATTATGATTAACATACTTAAATATTAAAACTATGAATTGAATTTATTTACTTCCTTTGCTCATTATGAAGTTTTGAAGCTTGCATTTTAATGTTCGTTTTATCATATTAAGAAATCGAACGACTGATCTATTTACCTTATTTGAATAAAAGTTGTAATTAACTTTAAATGAAGTTTTACTGGTTATTATAACGTAGATAATTTATAAAACTACATCGTTTCAGTGAATGACACAAGTTAGGATAACAATTGATAAAAAACTATTTTTTTCTCAATTTTAACCCTTTTTAATCTAATATTATGTCATGTTCGGCTGTGATGATCATGTTTTCATAATTAAAAACCTTTATTAAAAGTATATGTCATTGTTTTGCATGAATATGTAATATATATGTTTTTAATACTGTAAATTGAGAAGAACAAAATATTTTACGAGCGTATAAAGCGAATACAAATATAGATATTATCTTACTTCAATTATGTGGTAAATAAAAGTTCTAACAAAAACACACATTTTTTGTATTTTATACTTAATAACTACTATAATAAGAACAGGTGTTTTTCCAATTGTTTTCATTGAAGTGCAGGTGAAAGGACGCCTGTGATGGTGGCATCATGCGCAGACGTTGCGTGTACAAAAGTATAAAGTCAAAAAACGGTGTAACCTTTTATGTTATAATTTTAAGTGAATTAATGATTTATTTGAAATTTAAACGAAATAATTGAATTAAAGAATATGTCATTAGGAACAAAACTCAACAACAAGTGATGTTAAGTAAATCTTTATATAAATAATGAAATTATTATTTAAAACGCAAACCCCCTATCCACCCCAACAACAAAAGTTCGAAAACCAAACAATGTTATCTTTGACTAAAGAAAAGTTACCTGATATTTGCTGATTCTATATGATTATTTGCTCGAAGTTTTGAAACAAGAACTCGGATAATGTTGACAAGAAACACAAGATTTACCTGTAAAGATAAAAACCCAAATGTTACCACTTTTACAAATATACTCATCGCATTCAATCACTAATTTAGCTATCATACCTTTATTACATACATAAACTCAAAGCAATCGTCTAAGAATTTTGTGAAAAATACAGAATTGAGCCAATAGAGGCATGGTTAAGGTAAATACTAGTTATTTGCAGTACACTGATAGGTGTTCAGCTGTCATAATGTTCATTTAATAGTTTAATGATCAATTCTGAAAATTTCTTTCTTCAATAATCAAAATGTCTTTTATTTAAGATATTTAAGAAAGTGGCTGGTGACCAGTGACATTTGTTAACTGTAACATTGGATAACCACTGATGACCGCTTATTTAAATTTACTTACATGCCTATAACATCATAACAATAAAGAGTAAAACTCATTTCAACAGAAATGAAAGTATATCTTCAAAAAAAACCTACATATAAGATAAAAAAGTAGCAACATTCATTTTTAAAGAGAAGAGTACTTACAACAAGGGCGATAATAAATGGTACTGTGATGATGTAATATACATTTAGTTGAGAGTAATCACTCCAACAGTATGAGTCGTGTACAAAATGTAACACAAGACCCCATACAAGTGTTAGGAGTCCCGGTAAACCTGGAATTAATAACATTAAATATGATAGGAAGAGGATTTTGGTTGAGTGTAGATTTAATACTTAATCTATTGAACAAGATTTACTATTTACTTTTTTTGATCAAATTGTAATACTAAATTTATTGACCGAAATTTAATACTACATTTATTGGATAGGACAAATTTAATACTAAATTTATTGAAAGAGATGAATAAATTGATAAAAGACGACTCTTTGGCGAGCTTATATCGTTTTTATTCAACGAGTTCAATACATTTAGTATGGAATCTACACATCTACACGAATAAAACATTATATTTATCACATTTCCAACATAAGAACGGTTTACAGTTAAAAAAGTTATTTTTCATTGAAGAGGCTATTCATTTACGGTAACATTGGCGCGCTTTAACGCTATGTGTGTATTCAACGCAAATGACGTCACATCAACTTGTTATTACTCTATTATAAAAATGCATTATTTACGCTCCAGCATGTGGTTTATATGATAAATCAAGTCACGGCTTTGTAGATTGTATTGAAGTACTATCGTTATTACATGTATAAAAAGAAATATAAACATTCATAGAAATTAACAATTTAGAAATAATAATAATATCGTACACTTGGTAAAGTATACTAAAAGGCAATTCTTGTTTAAAGAACTAAGATAGCAACACAAGTAATAAAAAACTGAAAACGTTCTGGCTTAGTTGTCATCTTATCATCTAAACACGTAAATCTTAATTACACTTCAATATAAATTTCCATTGAATTACAAGAGATTTTAGTTTGGCTTAACATTTGTAAATTGTCAGTTTTTTTATATAAGCCAAAATATAAATTTTCCAAATATATTGTTATATAGTTTAATAACCAAAGATGTATAAATAATTATATTGTTATTATACGGTTATATTACACAAAATAAAAAATATATTGTCATTATAATGGTTGTATTACCAAAAATGTATATGTTCCATGAAAGTACACTTCCTTTTATACTGCGTTTCAATTTAATTTCATAATCATTATTCAATAAAACACAGTTTGTACATACCCCAACCGATAAAATAGAATAATTTGAACGGAGCTTGTGTACTGAATACACCCAAAACTAAGCTATGGTGGAGAAAGAAACCCTCCACAAACATCCAAAATACGTTTGCTAGCGTTGTATACTGGGAGAGAGCTGTTACAGTTTTACAAAGCCAGTCCTGAAAAGAGAAAGCAAAATATTTGTATTGTAATATTTTTTCATGTAAGTGTACCCTGTAAGTATACTTTATAAAAAATTTCTAACTTAATCTATGACTTCCTGAATGTGTGTAACTGACTCAAACTTCCACTCCCGGTTTGGTTTGGTGCCTTCTGGGTGCCCTGTTTGGGTGTGTCGGTGGGGGGGGGGGCTACGTCCTGTGAACGTTGGCTTTTTCTTGATGATCTTTATTCTCGTTTTTTTTTAGCTTTAAAACAATGTATTAGAAATTTAAAGTGACAATATGCTTATTTTGTTGTTGTCATGTTGATATTTAAGATATTGACTGTTATGATTATGAAAGCTAAATGTTGATAAGGAAAAATGTTTAGGATAAAATATGAAAAACAACCTTAATTATAAAAAGAGTGCCCCACACATTTCAAAAAATTGTAAACGATATATTTCGAACGATATTTAAAGAAATGTCCGTAGGCCATGTGGATGTTTTATTATTGTCATAAAGGTCCATTATGCCTTAGAAATGCTTTCATTTTTTATATCAGTTCTATATTTTCTTTGTAGTTTTTATATTGTTACAATTTTGCTTATTTTATTATGCCCCCATCGAAGAAGAGGGGGTATATTGTTTTGCTAATGTCGGTCTTTCTGTCGGTCTGTCTGTCGGTCCGTCGGTCTGTCCGTCGGTAGACCACATGGTTTCCGCTGATTATCTTGAAAAGTATTTATCACAAAGTCTTCATATTTCACATAGTGATTGGTCATCACTAGTAGATGACCCCGATTGATTTTGGGGTCACTAGGTCAAAGGTCAATGTCACAGGGGCCTTAAATGTCAAAATGATTCCCTCTGATTATCTTGAAAAGTATGTATCACAAAGTCTTCATATTTCACATAGTGATTGGTCATCACTAGTAGATTACCCCTATTGATTTTGGTGTCACTAGGTCAAAGGTCAAGGTCACAGGAACCTTAAAATGTCAAAATGGTTTCCGCTGATTATCTTGATAAGTATTTATCACACAGTTTTCATATTTCACATAGTGATTGGTCATAACTAGTAGATGACCCCTATTGATTTTGGGGTCACTAGGTCAAAGGTCAAGGTCACAGGGACCTTAAATGTCAAAATGGTTTCCGCTAATTATCTTGAAAAGTATGTATCACAAAGTCTTCATATTTCACACAGTGATTGGTCATAACGAGTAAATGAACCCTATTGATTTTGGGGTCACTAGGTCAAAGGTCAAGGTCACATGGGCTTTAAATGTCAAAATGGTTTCCACTGATTATCTTGAAAAGTATGTATCACAAAGTCTTCATATTTCACATACTGATTGGTCATCACTAGTAGATGACCCCTATAGATTTTGGGGTTACTAGGTCAAAGGTCAAGGTCACAGGGGCCTTAAATATCAAAATGGTTTCCGCTGATTATCTTGAAAAGTATGTATCACAAAGTCTTCATATTTCACATAGTGATTGGTCATAACTAGTAGATGACCCCTATTGATTTTGGGGTCACTTGGTCAGAGGTCAAGGTCACAGGGACCTAAAAATGTCAAAATGGTTCCCCTGATTATCTTGAGAAGTATTCATCACAAAGTCTTCATATTTCACATAGTAATTGGTCATTACTAGTAGATGACCCCTATTGATTTTGGGGTCACTAGGTCAAAGGTCAAGGTCACAGGAGCCTTAAATGTCAAAAGGGTTTCCGCAGATTATCTTGAAAAGTAATTATCACAATGTCTTCATATATCACCTAGTTATTGGTCATAAGTAGTAGATGACCTCTATTGATTTAGGGGTCATTAGGTCAAAGGTCAATGTCACATGGGCCTTAAATGTTAAAATGGTTTCCGTTGATTTTTCCATAATTGAACACTTCTATGTACCCATTTTTGGCAAGTTTCTGTAATAAAATTACCAATTATGTGAGTCAATGGCTAGAAAGGGGGGTATATGTGTCGTTCGACATTCTTGTTATGTTGGCAATTGGTATAATCCTAGTGAATAAGTATTTTGTATGGAAGTCAAAATACTACTTTGTTTACATTTGCTGCATTTACAACACAGTACTGCATATTCAGAACTACTTAATTCAGTTGTTAACATCTAACATGCTCTTAATTCATTATTTAAACTTTACTGAACAAATGTTTGATATTTCTTAGGAGTAAAAACAATAATGATTTCTTGGGCACAATGTACCTTTTAGTATCAGTTTACGTTTGAAAAACAACTACATTGTGTAACTTAGGATGTGGACCGCAGTAGAGTTTGCCTTCTTGTAAGGGAATGGAAATAATCATATATAATAAAATTGATATTATTTGAGACATAGTTATAAATTTTAATGCCGTTGTTTTTTACGATCCATCTCAAGATTGCTCTTATTCAAATGAAGCATTATACAAATTTACATTTATGAAAGAGGAGGCTTTTCAGTGGCAAGTTTGCTTCGGAGTTTCTTAGGTTCATGTAACAGTGTATTCATAATGATTGCTCTTTTATTCATTTAATTGATTTTGTTCAAGTATTGCATACAGAAATGTGATCTGTATATTAAAAATGGCATACTTTCTACAATTTTGTATAAATTGTCATGATTTAAGTTGAAATGTAATAGTGCACATAAGTTTGAGTGCAATAATGCGCAGGATGTTAAGTGTCATAGTATCCTTATACTCGTTCAATACTCTTAAGTGTAATAACAGGTTTAAGTTGAAGTTTGCTAGATGGAATATGTTAGTTAAAGCGCAAAATTGCGTGAAATAATTGACACAGGAACAAGAAAAAAGGATTAGTATACTTATGTAATACTCTTAAGTATACTAACAATCTTAAGTTGTGATAGATGAAATTAGTTATTAAAGTGCAAAATTGCATATAAGAATATAAGTTTAATAATTTGCACAAGAAGCAAGAAGAAAAAAAGAATACTCACGAAATTTCTGTATGACGTTGTACGACCGGAAATAAATGGCTCAGTAATGACTATGTTAGCAACAAAACGGAAAATAAATGACACAACCAAATGTTTGTGGATTGATATTCGACTGCAATTTAAAGACCTGTAAGAAAGAATAAAAACATTATCACTATACAAAATAAGAAATTAAATGATTCAAAATGATAAGGGTATTAAAATAATCATACTTTTGATTTACATGTACTATCTTTTCGTTTGCTTTGGTCCTCTTTTAGAAACTGTACATAAGTTATAACAGATAACATGCAATAACAATCAAGTTCAAAAACGTAGCAAAAGTAAATAATTCAAAATGTAATATGTTAATGCATATTCATATTCATATTCATACTTGTATATTGTTAGTACAACTTCCAAAAAACGTTGACTACGTTTAATGGATTTATAAACAAAGATATTATAGATACACAAATTATACCAGTGATAATTATCAGAATAGAATAATATATAATAAAATATCTTATTTTTATCCCCCGCCGAAAAATTTTCGGCGGAGGATATAGAAATAGTCTCCGTCCGTCCGACCTTCCGTCCTTCCGTCCGTCCGTCCTTCCGTCCGACATTTTTGTCCGGAGCATATCTCTAAAAGTATTTGAGTTATCAACTTGAAACTTCATAGGTGGATAGACCTCATTGAGGAGGAGTGCAGTGCACAAGAATGATAACTCTACCTTGCATGATTTTTGAGTTATTGCCCTTTGTTATTTTTCAAAATTGATTTTTGTCCAGAGCATAACTCCAAAAGCCTATGAGATATTAACATGAAACTTCATAGGTGCATAGATCTCACTCAGGAGGTGTGCAGTGCACAAGAATCATAACTCTACCTTTCATAATTTTTGAGTTATTGCCCTTTGTTATTTTTCATACCTAATTTTTCACCTGAGTGGAGCATAACTCAAAAAGTGTTTGAGATATCAACATGAAATGTCATAGGTGGATAGATCTTATTGAGGAGGAATGTTGTGCGCAAGAATGATAACTCTTCCCTATACAATTTTTGAGTAATTGCCCTTTGTTTTTTTTCATGCTATTTTGTCCAGAGCTTATCTCAAAAAGTATTTGAGGTATCAACTTGAAACTTCATAGGTGGATGGATCTCATTGAGGAGGAGAGCAGTGCTTAAGAATGATAACCCTACCCTGCATTATTTTTGAGTTATTGCCCTTTGTTATTTTTCAAAATTAATTTTTGTCCAGAGCATAACTCAAAAAGCCTTTGAGATATCAAAATGAAACTTTATAGGTGCATAGATCTCACTCAGGAGGTGTGCACTGCACAAGAATGATAACTCTACCTTTTATAATTTTTGAGTTATTGCCCTTTGTTCTTTTTCATACTTAATTTTTCAATTCAATTTTTTTCTCAAAAAGTATTTGAGGTATCAACTTGAAACTTCATAGGTGGATAGATTTTACTGAGGAGGGGTTCAGCACACAAGAATGATAACCTACCCTGCATTATTTTTCAGTTATTGCCCTTTGTTTTTTTCAGCCATCAGTATTCACATAGGTTTCAAATCTGTAATCACTATAGCCATCAGTTTTCATTACCAAAAGACCTCTTAAAATGGAATTATTCCGCTCTACTACATATACATTCTTCCAATGAGCAAACACATTCGGCGGGGGATGGCCATGTTGACATGGCTCTTGTTTTTCTCATCATGAAGTGAGACAATTACATTGTATGATCTAGAAGAGATCCTACGTTAATGTAAAAGAAATACCTAGTGGGTTGATTGTAATTTTTTATATATCAATAATAAATTGTATAATCAAATTTCCTAAATATAACTCGTAAATTGTGAATAAGTTTTACATATCACAATATGTGGTGTTTACAGTGTTTAGCCGAAAAAGATCACTGCAAAATCTATAGATGAAAATCTTCTTAGACTCGTAATGTAATTTGTTCCTAACCCAGATACTTTCTTTCTTTTTTTTTGGTGGGTACAGGGCATGATCTAAATAGCTGGTTTATGTAGTTTTATGAGACTTGAAATAAAAAACAGAATATTGGAAAAATTCAATAGCGTCTTGCAGTTTCAGACAACTCAAACAATACGCTGAAAATCAACAATAAAGTAGCTGACAAAACAGCAAGAATACAGAAAGGACAAACTTTTACGAAGAAATTTGGACAATGTATGCTGCTTTATGACATTATAAGAAAATCCTCATTTTCCTTAACAATATTCTCAACATATTTACAAAGAAAGAAGATGATAAAAGTAGCTTGAAGCAATGATAGATTTAGCCGGTGGAAATCGAAATACGTCAATAGATCTGGATGAATTAAATGAACAATTTACATTTGTATCTACACCATTTTCTTAGTCAGACAAAACAAAGAGACTCAACTGAAAAAGACATTGTAATTTTGCTTCGTTACTCGAATAATTTTATGTTATTATTTGTTGTCCCTCAATATATCTTTTCCAGCAAAAATTGTCGCAATACTTTATAAAATGATTTAAGAAAGAAGCAGTTAATGTATGGACAAATTTTGATATCTTTTTTTTATAAATAACCCTCTTACTTTGTATGTAACAGAGATAACTATTTGAAAAAAAAAACCTTTTAAAAATATTTCATTTTTGAATGGTTATAAAATTTCTTACAATGCTAGATATACAATTAATTGTTGCATTAAATATTCCAAATTGCAACGTATAGAGCAATTGCTACCCAAATTACAAAATACTGATGAACATTCATTTTAATACGAATGGAATTGATCAAGGAAAAAACTTGCTCTTTTTAACAATCCGTTTGCTTTAATCTGGTAAGTGCTACATGTAATTAAACCCATTTTATGCCACAGATACAAAGCTTGGTCATCGTAGTCAGTTATTTGACGAGGTCTGGCTCAACTGATGTAGTGGGCTGACCATCAAAGGTATCGTCACATTGAAACCATTTGAATACACTAAAGTGTGACTATCCGCTTTAAAATTGGCTCGTAATAAAAAACAGGGATCTAGTTTTGTAATCATAGTTATTTTAGCGTGTATAAGACAGTTACTCAACCGAAACAAGTTAAAATTGTGTGGGTATGTGGTATAAGGTGAAGGGTGGATGTGAAATACTTATAAATATTTAACAAGTGAGTGTGATTATTATTATAGACTTTCATGAAAATTCAGATTTCCGGTTGTCCTAATTTCCTTATGATAATTAAAGATAAGTGCTATTATTTACCACTTTCCAGAAAATCTTAATCAAATCAAAATTTTCATGTCTCAATTTATTTACTTACTGCATAACAGGAATTTGAACAGTGTATCTAAATATAGTAAATATGGGATTAACATTTGTATCCTCAATACATTATGTCTCATCAAAATGATAAACATGATTGGAATTAAATGTTACAGCAAATATGTATCTACAAAATGTTACGTGTCAAAATTATTTTTTGTTAATTCTACCATTACACATTAGCGTTACAAAACCACCGACGCTTTTGCTGTGTTTATAGTGCATACAGCAATATTAGTTATTAGTTTAGACATTATCCTCCCAAAGGTGTCTTAAAAAAACCTAAAAATAGTTCATCTAATGACAAAACAATCAAATATTTACTTTGATTTGTCTACAGAGCGGCATCATGACAACATTGCACCGAATTATGGTAACACATGACATTCGTTACAAATGATAGAAGAACGACCATAACACCATTTATAAAAGAAACATAAAAAAAAAACAACTATAATGATAAAAAACACGAATTAGAACTTCATTTGTGACGCTTCTTGTACATTCGCGGAAGCTGTTTACTTTGATGGGTATAAGTCTAAAAGATATAATAATACTAATACCAATGTCTAAATATAAAAAAAGAAACTTTTGAAAGTGACAAATGACATTAAGAGTGTTTCAAAATTCAAAAAAATATCAGTTAATGTTAAATGTTGAGTTTTGCTTAGGCAGGTGCTAGGGGAAGTGGACGCTAGCTTGCAATCATCACTACCGTCCATGAACGGGCTCAATCAAACCGATTTCACATTCAATTTTATAGTATATGCTTTCTTTAGGGATTCTGTTTATCTATTTTATGTTCAAATAAACATGCTTCCTCAAAGACATTTCAAGGCCTCTTTAATCAACCAGTTACAAATCAGAAAGCAATACATTGCATATTAAACTGAACACGACATTCTTAAATATACAATTGTAGTAAAGTAAAAGATATACCTGAAGTACTGGAAGATGAAAATGGTGACGAGTAGTAGAACTAACGATACAAGGCTGAGTATAAAATATATGTCTCTCAATGTCTCCGCTAGCTGTATACCTATTGGATATGTAGTTGACTGCAAGAGTAATTATCAGTCTCGTTATGATCAACAATATGATATATTGTAGTACAACATGATTATGTACAAATACAGCGTATAGTCATTTGTTTCTTGAACCGCAATCATATAGAAAATAATACAAATGCTGCAAGGAAACAAAAACATCTTTATGCATGTTTTCCTTTCTACAAACTGATAAAAATCGACCGAAATTTTATCTAATGACCACATCCGTTTTCTATATCATGAAACAAATACTAGTTATTTATAATACACAACTGCTGTAACGATTTCTTTCGGCTTATTTAAGTCAAGTGAAAAAAAAGAAAAAGAATTTGTTGTCTTTTGATACAAAGTTTTATGAAACTCGTCCAGAAAAAAGTTATTAAACAGGCCCCGGGAGAGCTTATTTAATAACCATTTTTCTGAACTCGTTTCATAAAAATTCATATATGATGACAACCCCTGTCGGATCCTGTACATGTAAACATTAAGAAAAAATGGTGTTTTAATTATGCTTACACGCACACTACATCGTTCGACTAATATTTGTACTTGGGTTTTTACAGCTTCTGAATATAGCATTTGTCAAAAATTGTGACAACAACTATCATGGTTGTCGAAAAAAATTATAATCATTTGAATTCTATTTTTGAATTATATTTTCAATACAAGATCCAGGGTAATAATTATTTGTATAGTACATGAAGTTAAACTTACAGTTTCGTAAATAATACACGATGTGTAATCAGACTTGCCATTTTCCCATGATGCATTGACAGGACAATATCTGTACGCTCGTACTGAAATACATAAACGTTACATATTCTATGCATGGTACAAAATAAACAGACAGTATATTAAAAAGTTTTCAAATAATAATAAATAAATCATTATTACGGTGCATAAACGATTTCTCTAAATTTCATTGGTTGCTACATTCTGTAAATGAATCCATATGTGCCCAGAGTATTGTATCCCTTTAAGCGCATCCGATTTTTTTCCGTTCGTAAATGAGTAGCTAAGGTGCAGGGATCAGCACAGTTGTAATTGGAAAAAGCTGATAATATCAAAGGACGAAAATAATTGTATATTTTGTTGAGAATGAACAAAACATACAGACAGTAATCAGACAACTATAAAACCATTTATCAAATCCTCTCTTAATTGTCTGCGAATATCTTATCCTCGTGATATAATGTCAAGATTGACGGCATCAGACGTGAAGAGGACACAAGAGCATAGTCGGGACATTTAACGGAAATCAATTAAAACATTGCCATCCAAATTTCTGACAAAAGAGTCGTTGAGAATTTAAAATAACCAATCGTGCAATATGGTCATGTAGGAGAAAAATAAAATACGAGTAGAAAATAAAATAAGTCAAGATATTGCCATAACAAAAAAGTATTTAAAATGACTTTGGCAAATGGTTACAATGATGTCATGCATAAACGGCTGTTTTAAGAAACACGAAATATCAAATTCAAAATAATTTTGTTTGCTCGATATATTTTTGTATTGCTCGTCCTCGAAGACAATCCTTTAAAGAACAAACTTATTTGAGAAGAACAAAATCCAACAACACTGTCTATAGGCATGTAAAATCAGAAAACAGATAATGATTTCTTAGGTACCTTTCCTATTTTGTAGTACAAACACATTTTTCACTGTGGTCCAGACAATAAGTTTACGCTTTAACAGAAGCGATGCCATTGTTTTTCTAATTATATCGCTCACAATATTCCTTATATATCAGTTTTATTATAAAGAAGAGATATAATTGTTCATATTATATTTTTCTTAAAAATAAAGATCAGATTAAAACAAGAGGATTCGAAAATATGTTTACATTTTACCAAATAATTGCTAATCTATTATCAACAATGAATGAAGAAGATAATATTACGCTAGCTAAAAACAAAATATTTGTCTGCCATGTGAAACAATATAATTAAAAGTTGACCTCATTTTGTCTTATCCATTTATAATACACAAATACGGCTATTGTACTTTCTCATATTCCAGGAGACGAAAATGTACTTTTAATAATTTCCTTGTTTTTTTGAGGGAAGCCCTAAGAGAATCTTGATATTTAAGCAAAATTGTCAAGCTCAAATGTGTACTTTTGTGTGTGTATTATTATAAATATTAGGCATTAAAATAGTCGCGTTTACTGACGCTCCTTATGGTAACATGCAAACATGACTGCACTAAATCAATTCGGCGTTTTGCTTCGTTTTTTTTTTCTTAAATGTTTCTTACATAATTTAAACGTTATGTAGGATGCACATGGTACAAAATAAACAGACAGTATATTGAAAAAGTTTTGGAATTATAAATAAATCGTTAGTACGATGCATAAACATTTTTTCTAAATTTCATTCGCTGATACATTATGTATATGAATCCATATGTGCCTCGAGTATTTTATCCATTTAAGCTCCACCGTTTTTTTTTCAAGCTAAGCTACAGGGATCAGCACAGTTGTAATTGGAAAAAGCTGATAATATCAAAGGACGAAAATAATTGTATCTTTTGTTGAAAATAAAAAAAACATACAGACAGTAATCAGACAACTATAAGACCATTTATCAAATCCTCTCCTAATTGTCTGCGAATATCTTATCCTCGTGATATAATGTCAAGATTGACGGCATCAGACGTGAAGAGGACACAAGAGCATAGTCGGGACATTAAACGGAAATCAATTAAAACATTGCTTTCAAAACTTCTAGCGAAAGAGTCGTTATGAGAATTTAAAATAACCAATCGTGCAATATGGTCATATAGGAGAAAAATAAAATACGAGTAGAAAATAAAATAAAGTCAAGATATTGCCATGACAAAAAATATTTTAAAATGGCTTTGGCAAATGGTTTCAATGATGCCAGCATAAACGGCCTTTCTACATTTGTAAGAAACACGAAATTTCAAATTCTAAAAGAAATTGTTTGCTCGTTAAATTTTTGTAATGCTCGTCCTCGAAGACAATTCTTTAAAGAACGAACTTATTTGAGAAGAACAAAATCCATCAACACTGTCTATAGGCATGTTAAATCAGAAAACAGATAATGATTTCTTAGGTTCCTTTCCTATTTTGTAGTACAAACATATTTTTCACTGTTGTCCAGACGATAACTATACGCTGTTACAGGAGCGAAGCAATTATTTTTCTAATTATATCGCTCAAAATATTCCTTATATATCAGTTTAATTATAAAAAAGAGATATAATTGTTCATATTATATTTTTCTTAAAAATAATAATGAGATTTTAACAAGATGATTGGAAAATATCTTTACATTTTACCAAATAATTGCTTATCAAATATCTACCAAGAATGAAGAGGATAGCATTACTCTAGCTTAAAACGAAACATCTGTCTGCCATGTAAAACAATACAATTAAAAGTTTACCTCATTTTGTCTTGGTTATTTGTAATACGCAAATAAAGCTATTTGTACTTTCTGATATGTCAGGAGACATAAATGTACTTTTAATAATTTCTTTGTTTTTGAGATAAGCACTAATAGAATCTTGATATTTAAAGAAAATTGTTATGGTCAAATTTGTACTTGTTTATTATATATATAAAACCAACTAGCTCCTAAATCAGTTGCTTTGAAGATGTTTTTAATGGTAGCATGCAAACATCACTGTCGTTAATCCATTCGGCGTTTTGTACAGTTTTTTCTTACATGATTCTTACATAATTTTTAAAGTTATGTAAGTTGCAATTGGGCAGTCACAAATTCAAAACGGGTAACTAATCATTTTATAGTTGGCAAAACAGGAGATACACATTATCTCATCGTGCCTAGAGCAGGCTAGGTAGGGGTCAAATACATTTAAATATATTTAAAAAACATAACATTTGCAGTGAATTAGTACAAAAATTTCGTGCCTGAAATATTGCACGGAAGGGCACCTGAGGTCTTCCTCCACCAGTAAAGCTGGAACGTCGCCATATTACCTATACTGTGTGGTTTGACGTAAAACACAATCAAACAAACATATTTTGAGGATCACTTTATTTAGGAATATACGAGGTTACAATGCATGTATGATTATTCATTAAAAAAAACAAAAATGTATTTATACTTACAGGTTACGTCAACATCCGTCTGAAATGGACATATTTGTTGTGCTGTAGTATTTGCAGGGATTGCTGGCCAACATGATATCTGGTCAAAAAATGGTTCACAGTACCCTGTAATAAAATATACAATAATATAAAATACGCATATATACTAAGTAAACAAGGTTAATATGGATCGACTGTATCGAATTCGGGTATCATGTTATTGTATCAGGTCAATAATTGATGATACATGTATACTCATGCAGATACACCTATCCTTCAGGTAATGGCTATTTTTTATTGTGCTGGCCATTCTATTAATCCTGAATTGCTTATAATTTGTAAAGGTCAGAGGTCAGAAATAAAAAGTGCGGGGATAGATATGATTGTTTACAAAAGTAGCCTCCCTGTTGTAAAAATCTGTAGAATCTGGTAAAATTTATTTCCCCTTACTGAATTAACTCCATTTGTACCTGATCATTGCTAAAGCATAAAACTGTTCAGTAGGGCAAAGAAACTCATAAAACATCGATTCATTAATAGTTTAGTTTTTCAAAAAGGGAAAAAGTAAGAGCCTGAACAATCTTGTACAAAAATAATATTTCCATGGGTATATGGAATTGGGAACATGCTTCATAAATTTCACCTTCAAAATATATAAAATAATTTAGTGTTTAGACTGGGCATAAACAATGAAGCCGTTTCCATTGTTTTTCTAGCGTACAGGTACCTCTAAGGTGAATTGGTCTATAATGGAATGTCTGTGATACCATAACAGTTGATATTGAATATTAAGAATCATACAAACAAACAAACAACAGGAAATACGGGAAATAATATAGAAAAAACGATGCTAGTAAGTGGGGTATTGCCTATCTATATATAATAGCAGATTAAAATTTGTTCTAGAACACAATATTATTCACCATATAACTGTACATACTAAATTATTAAGAACTCGATCAACATTTTCTTTCTTTAAAAATATTTTATGAGAATATCCAATTGATACATTTCGTTGTTTTCATCCATATTTGAAATAGTTATGGCAAGTTTGTCCATTGTAGTCTTAATCCATTTTTAACTACACTGTTAACATATTCAGATTAAAAGATCTATGTATATAATGTCAGTCTTAATGCTAAAATGCAAAAAAAAAATGTACAAAATAGTATACAAAAGTACAACATTTTATATTTCAGAAACAAAACCCATCTTAATTACTTGAGGCAAAAATCGACATAGAGTAAAAGTCAATGAGCTCTAAATTAAGACAAAAATATCAAAAAAGAAGAAAAAACACTACATTAGGGGTACTAGACAAAAATGAAAATTTAATTACTTTTCGCATTAGTTAAAACACTTTGAAAGAAATTACTTTCTCATGTTTTAGTCTAATGTAATGTTTACAACATCGTGTGTACAAAAACGTCATGTTTCCAAACCCAGCAGAAGTTTAATTTTAATCTCTGTATGTATTTTTAACCTTTAATAGTCTACTAACATGTTGCGTAGGTTTCCTTGATGTTTTTTCAATTGATAAGAATTCTCAAAGGAAACATACAATCATTTTTAATGGCTCAATATAATACACCATTAAAATAATTAAATGTAACAATATACCGTTTAACAAAACAGAGACAATACTCCATGCATATTTTTTATTATTATCATTCTAAATAGATTGTGTAGAATATATCTAATAGAAATCATATGAACTTTTTTAAACATTTGTAACCATGGCAAACACAATTCTGTTTTGATTTTCTCATGCATCGAATGCCTAATCGGTCTGACGTTTAAATTCTAAAATATATGTGTCTGTTCAATCAGTATCTTAGACATTGCGATCTTTAAAAAACATATAACTAAGACTGCGACATATGTTAAAATAAAACGAATTAGCATTGGCAGTGAAATATAGTGTATAACACAGACAACAAATTAAGTGGTCAGCTGTAATTCCATTTTAATTTTAGCAGTGTAGACCACAGTCATATATTGTGAGATTTATCATCAGTAAAGGGACAGTAAGAAATGTAAAAACTGAACAAAATGTTTTACTTATTTACAGTATGACTTACATAGAAATTGTTTATAGGGACTCCACTGTTGTTTTTTTTTGTTTTTTTTTACATGACGGGACTGAAAATATTTTTCGAGATTTGATGCAGGACAAGGTCTGAGTGCACAATTTCAGATCATTCGTTTTCAAGAATAATTATTCTAATTGTGACAAATGATCATCTAAACCTGAAAAGCAGGGCAAGTTGGCAACGCTTTTCACTTCGGTCGAGCACAAATTTTTTTTTTAATTTTTTAAGTATATTTCTTAATTATCTTTAGCATATCTTTTTGTATACGTTTCCCAGTTGATCTATGTAAGTAAGTCGGATTTTATGTTTTAGGCTTTCTGACCAAAGTGTACTCCTTTTAATGTTTCGGTACCCCTAAGAAATAGAATAATAAAAATATGTCGGTCTGTATTGTCCAACAATATTGAAATAGCACTTCATTAACTTTCGTAAAGGTCATTTGAAGAAAAACAAGAGCTGTCGGTAGGACAGCACGCTCGACTATTCTAAGTGCTTGATAGTAAAAGAGCCTTGATAACGTAAAATTTAGAGCTTTGATAATGTTAAATTTTCTAAGTTCACAAAAGGGCTATTTTTTTTATAAATCTTGTTATAGGCCTTAGAGACAGTCTAATTATACAGTATTGGCTTGACTATTCGGAAGGTAATAATGTCACAAGGGTGTTTTATTGAGTATAATAATACTAATTACCTATGAATACATAAAATTGACAGAAAAGGTACAAAGGCTTGTTATTAAGATGTTTTATCAAGTAAATCACTGCTTTATTATTATGAATGCATATAATTGTCCCAAAAAAGGCACAAACCCTTCAGTAATTATAGAGATAACAGCTTACAAGCAAAACTTTACCATGAATTTCTAAGTTGAAAAAGGGGAGAAAAATCAGCCTAAATGCAAGATAGAATTATGGATCTTTGTCAGTGACCTACAATGATGACCCTAAATGCATATGTGAAGTTTTAAATAAATATCTTTAATAGTTATTGAGATATGTAAAACTTGCATGTAAACATTAACCAAGAGACTAAGTAGAATAGGGGATATGAATCAGCCTTAATGCAGGATAGAGTTATGGAACTTGGTCAGTGACATACAATTATGACCCTCAAATTATGACCCTAAGTACATGATTGTGTAAAGTTTCAAGTAAATATCTTTGAAGACCTTTAACCTTTAACCAAAATTTTCTAAGTTTCAAATTTAAGGGGCAAATAGTTCTGCAAATATTGCAGGCAGAGTTATGCAATTTTGCAAACTGATGTACATTGTTACTATAAAAAAGTATACTTTTTAAATTTCAATTGAATATCTCAAGCAATAATTGAGATATTTGACTTAACAAAAAAAACTTTAACCAAAATTTCTAAGTTAAAAAGGGGCATAATTCTGTCAATATTGTAGGCAGAGTTATCCAACTTGTCAATCTGATGTACCTTGTTACTATAAATAAGTATTGTAAGTTTCAATTGAATATCTCAAGAAATAATTGAGATATTTGACTTTACAAAAAACTTTAACCAAAATTTCTAAGTTAAAAAGGGGCATAATTCTGTCAATATTGTAGGCAGAGTTATCCAACTTGTCAATCTGATGTACCTTGTTACTATAAATAAGTATTGTAAGTTTCAATTGAATATCTCAAGAAATAATTGAGATATTTGACTTTACAAAAAACTTTAACCAAAATTTCTAATTAAAAAGGGGCATAATTCTGTCAATATTGTAGGCAGAGTTATCCAACTTGTCAATCTGATGTACCTTGTTACTATAAATAAGTATTGTAAGTTTCAATTGAATATCTCAAGCAATAATTGAGATATTTGACTTTACAAAAAACTTTAACCAACGCAGACGCCGACGCGGACGCTGACGCCGACGCCGACGCCGGGGCGACTACAATAGCTCTCATATTCTTCGAATAGTCGAGCTAAAAACACACTGACTCTAATCTATCGATTATATTTGCTAAGTTAAACATCAATGATCAGTGAGATGTAGTGTACTTGTATAGATGTCGGACTACCGATCTGAAGGTCTCTGGTGCGATTCCTTAACAACACCATGTTGTGAAATTTATTTTAATTTACTTGCAAGAATTTATTTGAAATTGTTTTTTCAAACCTGTAATAAGAAGACGTTTTAATTAAGTTGTGTTTTCATACACAATTATATTTTAATTTCATTACACTATCTTTCAACGATTCTCTTTGTGACATTATATGCAATCGTATACGCTTTAGCGCATACACGCTATAAAGGCAGTTATTTAAAAAACACTGATAGTACACACAACAAAAAGGTTCGAAACAGTTTTAAGAGAATGGCAGTTTTAACATTATAATAAATTTTTAAAAAAATCGTTGAAATGGGAATCGAACCTACCAGTTTACGTGTACAATCTACAAGTGAAAACACTTTACCAACTGCGCTAACAGGGATTTTTAACTTAATATCATTTTAACAATTGGATATTCATATCGATTTACAAGTAGATTTACGAAATGTACCGACTGCAGGGTCAAATGCAAGAGTGCGGGGTGAATGTTGTTGGTCAATATCATTTTTAGAGGCGGTTTACTGATACATAAACACTTCTCATGCTATAGAATTAAAAAGGAACTTTGTCAATCTACTGAATTAGTATTACATTAGTCAGAATTAAAGCTTAAAAACTCAAAGTATCATTGAGGGATGTGTATGTATAATTGACATTTCTTGTAAAGCAAAAGAATTTATCGTATAATTATAATAACGAAACAAGAAGACACTTCAAACGATTGAGACAATATCAGCAAGTGCTTTTCGTTCAAAACAAATTAACATTTCATTTCTAAGAATTGGCCTGATTAGAACTCCATTTTTCCTGGTACAAAATACCGTCTGATTGAAATTAACGAGATTCTCGCAACTTATTCCTACAGAGGGTAATGATGCATGAAAATAGCATTTAGTTTTAACGATTGAATAAAAGACAAACGGACTCTATCAGATTCTAGAATCATACGAAACAAGTTCTCAATTAGCAAACA